ATTACATCTCCATCTTTTAACAACTTCCAACTTGCTCAGACTTAATATTACCTTGTTTATTTTCCATTTGCCTAGTTTTTCTGTACCTATCACTAATTTATCTCCTATTCTACCAGAAGTGTAAATCTCTGCTTGGTAAGTTCAAATACATCAGGTAATGTATCAGTTTCATTTTTTTTGCTTGGAGATGTCCCAGTTCAAGCCCACTGTTCTTATTGTTTAACTCCACCATGCCCTGATTTATCTCTAGGCCTAATGGAAGATTTTATTTATTTATTTATTGAGAGAGCGAGACCGCGCGCACAAGAGGGGAGAGGGGCAGAGGGAGAAGGAGAGGGGATCCTAAGCGGACTCTGCACTGAGCTCGGAGCCTGATGCGGGGCTCCATCCCACAACCCCCAGAGCATGACCTGAGTCAAAATCAAAAGTCCAGTGCTTAAGCGACAGCGCCGTACAGGCACCCCAAGCCTACTGGAAAGAGCCAGCCTGGGATCCTGTAAGTCTTGGGAATTTCTTTTGCCTTTCTGCTGTGTTGGAACTACTGTATTTTAGATCCCACATCTAATTCTTTTTATCTTCATCCTTGTTTTGGAAGACCACATACCAATAATTTCTTAAGAAAGGGTACATGCGAGATAATTTTTTAGATGTAAACTTGAAAATGCCTTTATTCAACATCATGGTTGTTTGATGGTTTGGCTGGGTACAGATTTATAAATTGAATATCATTTTCCCTCAGAATCTTCTAGCTTTCAACATTGCTCTTGAAAGTCTAATTCCATTCTGATTCTGGATCCTTTGTATATCCTGATTTTGTTTCCTTGATTCTTAATGTTTTATGTCAGCACAGTATGTCATGGGATCCATCTTTTCTGCATTTATTTTGCAGAGTGCCCACACGTGAATGCATGAAACTCATGTTCTTTGGTTTTGGGCAGTTTTCCAGCATTATATATTTAACAGTATCCTCTCTGAATTTTCTCTGGTCTATTTTTCTGGAACTATTAGTTGTGTGTTAGACCTTGTGGAATGATCTCTAATTTTCTAAGCTTTTCTATAGTCTACCTCTTTATCTTTTTTATCCTTTTTTCTGGGAAAGTTTCATGACTTTTTCTTTCAAACCTATTGCATTTTTAATTTTTGCTGTCATATTTTTAAGTTCCCAGCGCTCTTTTGTAAAGTTGCTTGTGGATGCATTATTTTTATTTTTCTGATGATATGGGTGATGAGTTATTTTCCATTTTTTAGCTTTTTACTCCTCAAATTGCTTGTTCACTTAGAATTTCTTTTTCTTTGTTTTGATCTCTTTCAAGTTGGAGCATTTCTTCAAATGTCTGGTGCTCACTGGCTGGCTATTAATAGTTAAAAATTAGACACCAAAATATTGATTAGAAATACAGGGTCCGGGGATGCCTGGTGGCTCAGTGGGTTAAGCATCGGCCTTCGGCTGAGGTCATGATCCCAGGGTCATGGGATCGAGTCCCACATTGGGTTCCTGCTCAGCAGGGAGTCTACTTTTCCCCCTCCCACTCCCCTCTTGTGTTCCCTCTCTCGCAAATAATTAAATAAAATCTTAAAAAAAAAAGTTCAGAGTCAGTGTGCAAGTTGGCCAAGTAGTGAGCATTGCTTTCAGGTTGACCCAACCATTTCTTTGGCTACCCTAACCATCAGTGTTTTTGAGACTTTTCTCTGGGGCTGGTCCATTGCCAGAGAAGCATGTTCTTATCTTATTTTGGAGGGTATTAAGTTCAGCTACCTGCATTTAGGGGACTGAGTGGAAGAAAGGAACTGAAGGACTCGCCATTTGGTATCGAAGAATTTATTTTCTCCTCTCCCAGCTTGCCTGGTATCTGAATCCAGAGTTCCTTTAGTTCGGCATCCCTGAACATAAACCTCCAGTCATCAGCTGGGACCAGAAAGAGGCTGCACCCTCACTACACTCAGATGTGCAGGAGAGAAGCAACAAATTCTGTTTTCAGCTCCACCTACACCATCGATTTTATAGGCTCCTGGTACCTCCAATTCCTGAAACGTGCTGGAGTCTAAAGCCAGAATCGGTTTGCTTTCTGGTTTTCCACTGCCAGCTTAGATTTCAACTTTCTTGGGCTCTCTGCTCCTTCTATCACCACTTTTCGATTGGCTTTCCTGCTTCCAAAATGTTGTCTTTAGTGTCTCCTCACCTATCTTTGAGAGTTACGCATTTTTAAAAATCCCTTTACTGTCTTCGAGGAGAAACAGACAATATGTATTTTTAGTCGGTCATGGTAAACCGCTGTTCCCTCAGTGAAACATCACCTCTTTTCTGAGACACCACTGTTTGATCTCCTACCTCTCTGATCTTATTGCCCAATTTTCTTAACAGGCTTCTCCCATTTCGTTCAGTCTTTAAATATGGAGGGCCCCAGGGCTTGCTCCTGGCATGTAGGCTTCTTTACATTCCTTCTCTAGATGAGCTCCTCCTTGTCAGGATTTAAATACCATCTACAGCCGTCTAGCTCCCACCCTGAGTCTGCCTAGTGGACCTCTTCTGCATATCGTTAAGCCTTCCAAATATAGCAGAATTCTTAATCTCCTACCCACAACCTGCTACCCACTAAAAGCTGCTCATCTATGTCTGTTTTAGTTACTCAGGCCAAAACCTGGGAGTTACCCTTGATTCCATTTTCTCTCACTCCCAAGTATGCAAGCCATCAAGACCCAGCAAACCTACCTCCAAAATTTATTCAGAAGCCATCCGTTTCTGTTTAGTGCTACTAGTACCATCCAAGCCATCATCTTTTTGCCTAGCCAACTACTATAGCCTCTTGAAGTCTCCTCCAGCTGCTCTTCTCCTTCCTCCTCCTCCTCTTCCTCCTCCTCCTCCCCACCTACATACATTCTCTCCACAGTAACTAAGGTCATCTTTTTGAAAGATGGATTATGCCACACCTTGAAACCCCCAAAGACTTCTGATGTACTTACATAGCCCAGACTCAAACCCCTTGGTTTATAAGGACTTGTATAAACTTATGCTTTCCAATTTCTTCAATCTCACTTCTACTCTGTCCCCTATACTCTAGCCATATTGGCTTTTCTGAACATGACAAACTCATTCCTATCACGGGGTTTTCACAGGCTATTTCCTCTATCGGGAATGTTCTCTTTCTTGACATTTAAGCCCCAGCTTAACCTAGGAGTTACATCACCTTCTCAGACTATCCCTGACCACCAAGTCTAAAGCTACACAAGTTACTCTCTACATCACTTCTTTTCATTCTCTGCCTAGCCCTTAGTAGTATCTGGCTTTTTTTTTTAAATTTTTAATTTTATTTCTATTTCACTTACTTGTTTACCTGTTTTGTTTCTCTTTTCTCCTACTGGAATATAAGTTTTGTGAAAGTGAGGATCTTCTCTGTTTCATTCAAAGCTAGATTCCTAGCACTTAGAACAGGGCCTGGCATGTAGTTAGCCCTATTAATTTGGCCAGAAGAGAGAACATTGAGTTCATTGACTTCACATTGAGTAGCTCACTGAGGAGAAAGTCACATAAGTTTTTGTTTTTTAAAGATTATTTATTTATTTGACAGAGAGAGAGCACAAGCAGGGGGAGCATCAGTGGGAGAAAAGCAGGCTCTCCCCTGAGCGGGGTGCCCGGCATGGAGCTCAGTCCCTGGACCCTGCGATCATGACCTGAGCCAAAGGCAGATGCTTAACCGACTGAGCCACCCAGGCACCCCAAAATTTTAAGTATCATAAAGAAAGGAGGTGATCCATGATACTTATGCTAATTAAGCATCAAAAACTAGCATACTGAATAGAAATGAATCTATAGGTATGTACATAGTTGGCAGGATTTCTCAAGTTTGGCATGTCCAGACTATTGACATTTTGGGCTGGATAAATTATGTGTGTACTTGGGAGGGTGGGAGCTATCCTATGCATTGTAGGAAAAGCTGTGGAAACTATTCCAGATTAAAGGAAGCTAAATGTAACATCTGGCCCTAGACTGCATCCCGTCCTGGGAAGAGAAAATACTATTAAGGGACCTTATCAGATCAACTAACAAAACTGGAATATAAACTAGACTGCATGAAATATTGTAATAATGTAAACTTATGAAGTTAATAACTATTGCGGTTATGTAGGAGAATATACCTTTTTCTTAGGAAATACACTCCAAAGAATTAAGGGATCAAGGGCCATAAATATATATAACTTATCCTTCAATGTTTCAGGAAGAAAATTTTTACATACAGTTAGACATAGATCTAATGGTAAAGCAAAAGAGGTAATATGTTAAGGATACTTGAATCTGGGCAAAAGGTATACATGTATTCCTTGTAATATTTTTGTTTGCAACTTCCCTAAGTTTGAAATTATTTTCAAATAAACAGCTAAAACAAAAGATTGGCTCTGGGAAGCAATTCGATTAAAGTAATCGGGCAGATTAAGAAGGTGACAATATTTTTAACAGACCATTAGTGTTGTGGAAACATCAGGGAAGTTTATTTCCCATGTTACGAATTTGTGACTTTGGGAAAGTCACTGAAAGCCTCTCTGAGCTTCAGGCCCTTCACCCAGAGGGCTGCTGAATAGTCAAATGAAAGAATGTACATAAAAGCCTTTCCTGCTACATGCCGCAGCAAAGAGGGAACTGTGTAACAATTAAGTGGGACTAGAGCCGTAACTGCTGCTCAGGTTCTCAAACTCAGGCGGCTCCACTGTCCCCCGCCGCAGGGACACCAGCCATGCCCCCGGTTAGCTCCCGCAGCGCACCAGCAACACCTCCCCGGCCCCCCCGCAGGTGGGTCGCGCACCTCCGGCTCGCCTCCCCAGCTGGCCGCACAGCTGCCCCGGGAGCAAAGGCCTGGCCCCGCCCGCTCTCGAACGTCTCCGCAGGGTCGCCCAGGAAACGCATTCTCGGAGGAACAGGCAGCCGCCAATGGGAAGGGAGCGAGTGCCACGAACTGACCAATAAGGAGGGAGCAGTGCGGGGTTTAAACCTGAGGCCGGCCCGGCTCCTCCCGGCGTGCTGCGGAGGAACGGCTGTTGATCTGCGCTGGCTTCAGGTCCCCGGCTCTTTGGTGGCTCCCGCGCTCTGCTTCTCCCCACTGAGCAGCTGCCTGGTGAAGACGAAGCCATGGCCCTCCGGGTCACCAGGGTGAGCAGACGCGGCCTTCCTCGCTCGCTGCGCGTCCTCTCGTCCTCGGTCCCTTGCCGGAGCACCCCCCCCTCCCCCGCATTCCCCGAGTGGACTAAGGCAGCGATTTGGAGAGGAGGATGGGGGGGATCGGTGGGTCCCTGGCACGGTGGGGGCGTTTGGGGGCCCCGCGGAGAAAGGAAGAGGACGGGGCCGTCCTTGGATGAATGTTTGGCGCGAGGGGCGACGGCGGTGGAGGGTGGACAGGAACCCTCTTTTAAAATGTGGTAGAGGGCCGCTGAATGAGCTCCCACCAACCGCGTATCCCCCTTCCCGGAGAGAAGGTGCCTGCCTTTGGAGGCTTTTCCGATTTCCTTTCAAATGTAAATTAGAGTTCAGAGTCGCCGGGGACTAAGCCGGCAGCCCCTCAGTAGGTGAGTGAAGAGGTTCTGGGAAGAAATGGGCTTGTCACAGCCGAAGCGTGGATCCTGGAACCCCGGTTTCCCTTCGGAACCCAATTTTTACAGCCAGCTTTTCTTCTGAGAGCCTCTCTCTTGCCCCACCTTCACTGACCCTTGACTTAACTCTAACGTGGCTGGTTGGGCCGGCCCTGAAAGTGGTCTTGTTTCTTTCAGAACACAAAAGTTAATGTTGAAAATAAGGCAAAGATCAGTATGGCAGGGGCAAAGCGCGTGCCTCTGGCCACGACTGCGGCCTCCAAACCCGGGCTGAGGCCGAGAACGGCTCTCGGAGACATTGGTAACAAAGTCAGCGAACAACCACAGGCCAAACTGCCTCTGAAAAAGGTAACTATCTTCCTGAGCCCACTTCTCTCTCTGTAAGAGTCCACTCTATAGCTGTGACCCTTGGTGGGGAAACATTTCATTTTCGTCCTTTCATCCACAGGAAGCAAAAACTTTGGTTCCTGGAAAAGTTATTGCTAAAAAAATACCTAAACCTCTGGAAAAGGCACCCGAGCCTGTGCCTGAGCCTGTGCCAGAACCAGAACCAGAACCTGAGCCTGTTAAAGAAGAAAAACTTTCGCCTGAGCCTATTTTGGTAAATTTACTCTGCCTTTCTCCATCCAATCTGTTGGTGTTTCTTTCCCCTTGTTTTATAATACATGGGATAGCATTTGAACAAATAGTAATACTAGTAACATTTATAGAGTACTTAGCAGGAGGTGGTCTCTGCTCTGCACTTGAAGTGCTTTTAACTGGCATAACCTTTACATGGACTCTCTTACTTGTATTATTACCTTTACCTTTTAGATAATGGCTTAGAGAAGCATTAAGTAATTTTTCTAGAATCACACATCTAATCAGTGGCATCTATGGATGTAAACCCAGGCCATCTGGCTTCAGAAGCTAGGCTCTTCATCATTTTGTTAGACTGCCCCCAACCCCTTTGAGAATGGTGTCGAGTGAGAGCTGCATGGACCAAAGAATTTGTGGTCTTTGGTACAAGCCATCTGACCGGAATTTATTGACTGAAACATTATCTTGAATCCTTTTAATCCCTAATGTGGCCACTGAGTATTTAATAATTCTGTAACATTGGAATAAAGGTGTAAAGCAGAAAGAAAATGTAGCTTTTCAGAGAGTAGATGAGTTAACAGCCTCAAAAACTAAAACTAGGAACTTACTAAATATCAGTTACATAAATGTATCCACTCCCGTGAAGGAGAAACACTGCAAATAGAAGGGGCTCCTTTGCTGAAATTACAATGAACTGCATTTAATGAAGCTCTACTTTTTAAAACGTAGTTAAGGGGGTGCCTGGGTGGCTCAGTCGGTTAAGCATCTACCTTCAGCTCAGGTCATGATCCCAGGGTCCTGGGATTGAGCCCCACATCAGGCTCCCTGCTCAGTGAGGAGTCTGCTCCCTGTCCCTTTGCTGCTCCCCCGCTGCTTGTGCTCTCTCACTCTCACTCTTTCAAATAAATAAAATCTTAAAAAAAAAAAAATAAAGTAAAACATAGTTAAGGAGCATCTGTACTTGCTAGATGGGATGATGCTCACTTCATGAATCACTTAATAAGACAATTACATCTTTAAATTAAGAAACAAATAATAGTTAAAACCAGTTGAGAAAATGATCTGTAAAGTCGTTCAGCCCAGCTCCTTATACCTAAGGATAGGAGATTTGAGGCTGTTGCTTTGGTATTGACATTCTGGATATAACACATGAAACCTAGAGCATGCACAGTCTCTTAATTGGCCATGCCGAGCTACATGAGGTTTCCTTGAAAGTCCCATACTGATTCTTGACTTTGCGCTCCCACTTAATAAAACAGGCCTTTCTCGCTCTCTCATTCTTTCAGACAGTAACCTTTTCATCCTTCAAAGCAGCTCAAGTATCAACTCCTGGAACTTTGCCTAACTTGCCCTCACCCTTGTTACTAGAATCAGTCTCATTTCATTTACTTCTCTCTTCTAAATTCAAAGCCCTTTGAGGACACTATAAAGGCAGTGTTTGACACAGAGCTTGACTAGAAGAAAATGCCAATAAATGTTTGAACAAAGGGGTAACTGGAATTTGAAGGAAATGGCTAATAATAATAAAAAACTGGGGAACGCCTGGGTGGTTAAGCATCTGCCTTCAGCTCAGGTCATGATTCCCGGGTCTTGAGATCGAGTTCCACAAGGGGCTCCCTGCTCAGCGGGGAGCCTGCTTCTCCCTCTGCCTGCCACTCCCCCTGCTTGTGTTCTCTCTCTTTGACAAATAAATAAGATCTTAAAAAAAATAATAAGTTTTGTTAATCCTTAGTAGTCAGGACAGAACTTGCATTTTCCTGGGCAGTGAGAAGCAGTCCATGTTTTGATATAAAGACTAAAGACTGTCATTCATTTGGATTGACTTAACATGATGCTGATAAACAGATTGTTTACTCATTTCCTTTGGAGGAAAGTCTAGAATGTGATTTTCTTTGCTTTTTCTCTGTTTTACCCATTGGTGTTTAGGTTCTGCTAACTTAAAATCTGCTCGGTCTGTTATGACTTTTCGCTTTTTGTATTAATCTTGTCCTAAGGAGAAATTGAATAAATTTGAAAAGAAAGATACTTTTCCTTTAAGGAAATGAATTATGAATTATATGTCTGTTTAGCAGTTGGTCTATTGAGTTAGTACCAATAATTGGGCCTTCATTCCTAGATTGTATGCTCCTCTTTGCTATTATTTCAAAAGGTCTCTCTGTTTCAAGGTTGATACTCCCTCTCCAAGCCCAATGGAAACATCTGGATGTGCCCCTGCAGAAGAATATCTGTGTCAGGCATTCTCTGATGTAATTCTTGCAGTGAATGATGTGGATGCAGAAGATGGAGCTGATCCAAACCTTTGCAGTGAATATGTGAAAGATATTTATGCTTATCTGAGACAACTTGAGGTCTGTATTATTTTTAGAATCTTTGTTTTTTTAAACTGCATTTAACTTTATTTAAAGACATTTTCCGGGGTGCCTGGGTGGCTCAGTCGTTAAGCGTCTGTCTTTGGCTCAGGTCATGATCTCAGGGTCCTGGGATCGAGCCCCACTTCGGGCTCCCTGCTCAGCGGGAAGCCTACTTCTCCCTCTCCCACTCCCCCTGCTTGTGTTCCCTCTCTCGCTGTGTCTCTCTCTGTCAAATAAATAAATAAGATCTTAAAAAAAAAGGCATTTTCCACTGACAGTTTACAATAAATCAAGCAGGATGTGAATAGTATTTCTTAACAGTAGATTCCACTTCCAAATTCTCATTCACAGAGTACCAAAAATCAAGTCAGTAATCAAACTAAGGACATCTTGTATTTGCTATTTTGAACAGGTAAAGTTCAAAGTGACAGTGGATAATACCATAACTCTAACAAATGTCCATAGGTTGATATACTTATGTCTATCACAGTTAGGAGTGCACAAGTCCCAAGCTCTGAGTTTGAGGATTAGAGGCAGGAGAGAGATGGTAACGGAGAATATGCTGAAAAATAACCACCAGGAATACAAGGCATTTTGGCTCATTGTGACTGATGTGCATGTGATACCAGGGAAATTGTTCTTTGTGTCCAAGTGGAGTACACTCAAAAAAAGTTTTTGGTTTTCTTTCATTTCATATCACTTCTGAAACTTTCTATTAGTGGCATTTGTCTCCCACCCCAAGACAAGGAAGCATTCTGTATGCTAATAAGCTGTACAGTACCAAATTTGCCCAACCGTTTGTTAATAATGCATTCTCTTGGGCGCCTGGGTGGCTCAGTCGGTTGAGCGACTGCCTTTGGCTCAGGTCATGATCCTGGAGTCCCAGGATCGAGTCCCGCATCGGGCTCCCTGCTCAGCGGGGAGTCTGCTTCTCCCTCTGACCCTCTCCCCTCTCGTGCTCTCTATCTCTATCTCATTCTCTCTCTCAAATAAATAAATAAAATCTTTAAAAAAAAAAATAATGCATTCTCTTCTTTGGGCATCCATTTTCTATAGGATTGTCCTATAGAAACTTCCTTGCCAGGACCAGCCTTCCACTTTGGTTTTCTTCTGCCTTCTTTTTAATAAAGTTATAACTTTGGCCAAGTGGGTTCAGCAGGCATATGTGCTGGTCCTTGATGGTTCATTCTTTCTCTCTATAGTGTTTTGGGGTTTTAAATCCTAGAGCAGGAGAGTGGGTAGCACACAGGTTCCAGCTGACCTGGGAAGTAGCTGCTGCTAGCTTTCCCTACTTCATACAGCTTAGGTTCTGGGTTTAGAATCATAAGTGAAAAGATTTAAGATGATGGCATGATAGCTTTGTCTGGATGAAGTGGGTACAGAGTATGGGCAAGTAGCAGTGATGGTAGGTTGAACATAATGAGATCTGTGCATAATAAAAAACCTGTCAAACTGTCCTATTTAAGGTTTGCTTTCTTCCTCAGTGACAGAGCTGTATGTAGTGACTGTATGAGTAATTAAGTTGAGCACTGTTAGAGATTCTGAACTCTGCATTACTATTCTGTGGTGACTAATATTTGTGGACAGAAATGTCACATGGAGTCTTGCCTCTAAAGGATAATCAGCATTCTTTTGCAGGAAGAGCAAGCAGTCAGACCAAAATACCTCCTGGGTCGTGAAGTCACTGGAAACATGAGAGCCATCCTTATTGACTGGCTAGTACAGGTTCAAATGAAATTCAGGTTACTGCAGGAGACCATGTACATGACTGTTTCCATTATTGATCGGTTCATGCAGGTGAGCATAATTCAGTAATTGAGGGTTCTCCCTTCCAGGATCCTAGCAGAGTCATAAACACTTTTTCAGGGGCACCTGGGTGGCTCAGTCTGTTAAGCATCTGCCTTCGGCTCAGGTCATGGATCTCAGAGTCTTGGGATCAAGCCCCGCATGGGGCTTCCTGCTCAGCGGGGAGTCTGTTTGTTTATTCCTCTCCCTCTAACCCTCCATCCTGCTCATGCTCTCTTTCTCTCAAATAAATAAATAAAATCTTAAAAAAAAAAAAAAGACTTTTTCCAGCTAACATTTGTCTTGGGGTAGTGTCATTAAGATTTTGCTGTAAGAGTGTTTTTCACATGTCCCCTTCATAGCTCTGTTGTCTCCTTTTTCAAGTACGTATTAGTTGTTCATCCAGTTGGAATTCCCATTGCAGAATAATTGTGTGCCCAAGAAGATGCTGCAGCTGGTTGGTGTCACTGCCATGTTTATTGCAAGCAAATATGAAGAAATGTACCCTCCAGAAATTGGTGACTTTGCCTTTGTGACTGACAACACTTACACTAAACACCAAATCAGACAGATGGAAATGAAGATTCTAAGATCTTTAAATTTTGGTTTGGGCCGCCCTCTACCCCTGCATTTCCTTCGGAGAGCATCTAAGATTGGAGAGGTACAGATCTCTTTGGTAACTTTAAGTATGGTACATGATGAAATACTGCTAATCAAGCAGATCTAATTCAGCTGACTTATAAATCCGCATGAGGAAGACATAAAAATGTTCTTTATTTCCAATCAGGGTGTATATTAATATTTTCATTAAGGCCTTCCATGGGCAATTGCATTTGAGAGTTCATAGACAAACATTTGTAATTATAGGTACAGGCGTACTGCTTATTGCCAATACAGAATTCCCTGACCGAAGTTGAGACCTGTGGGTTTTGTTTCAGGTTGATGTTGAGCAACATACTTTGGCCAAATACCTGATGGAACTAACTATGTTGGACTACGATATGGTGCACTTTCCTCCTTCTCAGATTGCAGCAGGAGCTTTTTGCTTAGCACTGAAAATTCTTGATAACGGTGAATGGGTAAGCTCTGTCCCATAGACTTAGTTTACCCTAAGCTTTTAAATTGTAAGTGATGTTTGCATGAATACTGGACTTTTTACATTAAAGGACAATTCTAATGGTTTCTAAAAATACAGCATCTACTGAGAGAATGATTAAAAATGATTATCTTATTTGCCGTGTGTTCATCGGATACTCCCACTTCATTACCTAATTTCATCTTTCTATATAGAAGAAGACACTCAGGTCAAATGACAGGCTAGAAGTTCATTCATACTCCTTTGATGCACCAAATATTTCTCCTGTTTGCCATGTGCTACCCTATGCCCTTGGAGTAGAATATGCATGAGAATGTTGGTGTCAAAGAATTTGAGCACGTGTATAATAGATTTTTAAATACAGGGTCCTAGAGAAGCATGAAAGAAGAGTACCTGGGGAAGAAGGCATCTTAAATTTATCTTAAATTTCAGTTATAATCAGTCCTATGGAATCTCTTCCTACCCTACTCTTGACTAAGGTACAGAAATTTTATGAAAAGCATTGTTGAGCATTTCTAACATTAACTTTTGTTGCCATAGACACCAATTCTACAGCATTATCTGTCATACACTGAAGAATCCCTTCTAAATGTTATGCAACACCTGGCTAAGAATATAGTCATGGTGAATCGTGGGCTTACAAAGCACATGGTAAGTCGGGTACTGTAGATGTTGTGGGGGGATGTGGGAGGGTGCAGAGTGAAAATACGTAAGATTTCATGACTGCAAATGCATGGCTTATTTTTCCTTTTTTAAATCTTTGGGGGGGCAGTTAGAGATGGGAAGAGGTGGGTACAGAAGGAGAGAATTTTTTTAAATTTTATTTAAATTCAATTAATTTACATATACTGTATTATTAGTTTCAGAGGTAGAGTTCAGTGATTCATCAGTTGCATATAACACTCAGGGCTCATTACATCACATGCCCTTCTTAATGCCCATCACCCAGTTATGCCATCCTCCCACCTACCTCCCCTCCAGCAACCCCCAGTTTGTTTCCTAAAATTCTGAGTCTCTTATAGTTTATCTCCATCTCTGATTTCGTCTTATTTTATGGGAGAGAATCTTAAGCAGGCTCCACGCCCAGTGCATAACCCGGTGCAGGGCTTGATCTCAACCTTGAGATCATGATCTGACCCGAAATCAAGAGTTTGATGCTTAACCTATTGAGCCACCCAGACACCCTGATGCATAGCTTATTTTTTAAGTATTTGATGTTTTAAGTGAATATCTGCACCATGGGATCTTAACAATGTTTTCCTCTTTGTCTTTCATTAACTACTATGCTTTTCTCTTCCAGACTATCAAGAACAAGTATGCCACATCTAAGCATGCTAAGATCAGCACTCTGGCACAGCTAAATTCTGCACTAATTCAAGATTTAGCCAAGGCTGTGGCAAAGGTGTAACTTGTAAACATGAGTTGGAGTACTATAACTGCAAATAAAATTGGCACCATGTGCCATCTGTACATATTATATGTTACCTTTACTTTTAATAAAGTTTGTGGTCCTTTTTACTTCTTATACCTTAACTCATTTGAATGTCACTACTTTCCTACTTGAGGATAACCTAAAAGTTGTGTTAAAGGTATGATGGGGAGTATAAAAAGTGCTTTCAATTTATTGGGACCCAACTTACATACATAATTGTTACTTGTGTGGATTTGTTTTATGTATTTGGCTTTTGCTTTCTTAATATGGGTTACTGTGGTCATGAAGGCATTTAAAGCCCTTCTGTAGGGCAGTACTGCATGTAAGCCCAATTGTCTTGAAGAATATGCAGCCTTATTCTGCTTAAAAGCCTGCCATCTCATCCTTAGGACCCCACCCCCTCTGTTTTCTGTTTCTTATGGTGGTTGCTGCCATAATTCTAAGTTTTTACTTCTACCACTATTTCTTAAATTATCAACTTAAGCTAATATCATTTTTTCACTTGCAAAAATAAGAACTTTATATTTTAAACCTAATTTACCTTTTTATTGTTTATTGATCAAATAAAAGTGGATCCTCAAAACCTACAAAAGTATCTAGAAAAGTTAATTTACTCTTTATGCCCCACTCCTACAGCTCAATCCCATCCATCTGAAGGTATCAACAGTTGGGGATAGATCCTTTGATACTTCTTCTGTAAACACAGACATACATATAAATTGTTACAGGGATTTCTAAGAAATGGGATTGTTCTATATATAAGCAATTCCTTTTAACATGTATAGATAGGCCTTGCCTATATTTGGTCATTACATTACACAGTACGGATATACTAGTGTGTTCAACCATTCTGCTGTTGTCCTTCACCTTGCTTTTCCTCTTTGCTCCTACAAATGTCTTTATTATCATTAAATAACGTACTTTCCTTTTTGTACACTGGGTTCTCCAGACTATGTACAAAGTTTTGGCAGCTACTTAACAAAAGATGACTTTCAGTGTCCTCAGCAGTGTACAAAAGTTCAGTGTCCTTGTCAGAACTGAAGGCAATGATTCTCCACAATTTCTGTGAATTTTGCAAAAAATCTAGTTTGCTTTTGTAATTTATAGTTTTGATGGCTAGTTGAATAAATTTTTGTTGACTACTTATCAATATGTAAGGTTTTCCCATTTTGTCTTTTGCCTTTTGACTGTTTATACTCTTTTGTCATGCAGACACTTTTAAGTTTGTGTATTACCAAATCTACTTTTTTTCCTGTAGTTGCTTTTGGATTTTCAGTCTTTTTTTTTTTAAGATCTAAAGATTTTAGGGGTGCCTGGGTGGCTCAGTCGGTTAAGTGTCTGCCTTCGGCTCGGGTCGTGATCCCGGAGTCCTGGGATCGAGCCCCGCATCGGGCTCCCTACTCAGCAGGAAGCCTGCTTCTCCCTCTCCTACTCCCCCTGCTTGTGTTCCCTCTCTCACTGTCTCTCTCTCTCTCTGTCAAATAAATAAAATCTTTAAAAAAAAATTTAAAGATTTTATTTATTTGCCGAGAGATAGAGCACAAGTAGGCAAGAGTGGCAGAAAGAGGGAGAGGGAAAAGCAGGCTCTCCGCTTTGAAATCTAAAATTTACTTTTAGGTAACAACAGTTCTCTACATTACTCTGTGCTCATCACATTAAGTCTGCTCTTAAGCCCCTTCACCTATTTCACTCATCCTCCCACCCACCTAGCAGTTGGTTTTAACTAGTCCTCCCCATGATTCTGATTCGTGCTGAGGAACTACTGCATTGTCTTTGTCCCAAATTTGGCCTGGGACACCAGATAGGCAACTGCTTAAAAGTATGCGGTTGATGTGAGATATTGGAAGACATCCAGGGTAAACCTAAAAAACAGTAACACTGCCCTTTTTGTGTAAAATAAAAAATGAAAGGAAACCATGCTTTCCCAGGAGTTTGGGGGTAGGAGTGGCGAATCTACGGTCTTACTTACATCCTTCTGAATCGAAAATTATACCGGGAGCTGTTACTTTCATAATGAAGAGGAAGAAAGGAGAGCGCGCACTGTGTGACCAAGTATAACTCAGGGGAAACTAGTTATTTAAGGGGAATGCTCGGCTTTCTTGTTCAGAGGTCTGAGTTCCTGCGCTTTTGCTACAAAGCTAGAGCGACAGCCCTTAATGAACTACAATCAGGAATTTATCCGTCCTGCATTTTCTCCGTTACCTGCTCACCGCCCAGCTGAAAAGCTTAACTGCAACCTAGTCAGTCGACAAGCTAACACTTCGGGGCACATAACTGTTAACAGAGTGCGAATCTTACTGATAGTGAAATTTCACGCTGCAAGTCTGGGGTTCAAGTATATGCACTGCCTCGTAGGGGCTTTAGGTATCCCTGAACTTCGTCAAACGAGGGGTGTCTGGACGTTAAGAACTCAGATCGAAAGTCTACTTAAAACAATCCTCCATTGTTTCCCTTTCTTGGCCTGCCCGAGTACACCCATTTTCCAAGGCTGTGAAGGTTAACGGAGTGCCAAGATGGGTCCAAAAACCGCTGTCCCGAAGATCCACTGTCCCAGAGCCAAGGATGATTGACCATATGTGTCGGGGTTTTCCCTTCCAGGCTTCCAGGCGGTTCCCGGGAGGCGGAGTGTGTCCCAAACGGCTGTAACCCAAACCCTAGCCCCAGCACTCGACAAAGCTGATGCCTAAAGTTCCACTTTTTCTTAGTAGTGGTCTTATACTAGTCGCCGGAATAAGAGTGAAAAGGAGTAACCACGGCTACCAGAGAACGGGACGGAAGGGGTGGGACCGTAGGGCGGAAGGGGCGGGACGGAGAGCGGCGGTTCTCCGGCCTTTTCCGGGCGTCAATTTAGTGGCGGGAAAATCGGGTCCTGAGGCTTCCTCTTTCCGTCCCAGGCGATTCCTCTTCGCGCCAGTCAGAATGGAGAAGCAACCCGGAGAGCAAGCGGCCGCCGAGCCCGCGGACTCCGGAGCGGGAGGCGGGGAAGGCGGGTCACCACAGGTCGCCGGCGCCCAGACGGCGCGTCCCGAGGACCGCTTGACCCTGCTGCTCAGGTTGTTCCCTCTGGCCGGCTCGGCCGGATCCAGAGCCCCGCCCTTTGTTGTCAGGGTCCCGAAGGCTTCGAATTCTGACTTGGTTGCTTAATAGCTGGGTCATGCGTCATTCAGTTTAGCTCCTTAAGCCCTTTCATCTTCGAAAAAGAGGAGAGTTACATCTTCTTAATAGAGTTGCAGTGCCCCGGGCCCTTCGGAGCTGTTATTTCCCCTCCTTTTCTCATCTACTCAAGCCCTGCGGCCCCGATATTTAAACGGGTTGTGGGGTGCATCTAAGGCCTTAGCTACATAAAAAAACGTCCTGCCTTTTTATTTTATGGTTACGACCCCTTTTCAATCCAGGAGATTGATTTGTTATATTTCCTACCAAGAGGGTGATGTTTGTACTTTTCCACTAAGCCTGGTGTGGCTTTTGGTGTGGCCCCTCAAGCTAAGAATAGTTTTTATGTCTTTAAGTGGTTGGGACAAAAAAAATTCCTGGAGGGATATTTAGTAACACGTGAAAATTATATGAAATTCAAATTTCAGTGCCCTTAAGGAAAGGTTTATTGAAACACAGCTTTCCTGCGGCAGGGTCTGTGTTGAGTAGCTACAGTAGAGGCCGTACGAATCACAAAGCCTAAAATACTTGTTTGGTCCTGTACAGGGGGATATTCTAAATCATAGTAATGGGATTTTTTTTCTCCCTCCCCTGTATTTTAGCTTTACCACTACTTTGAAAGGTCTTGGCTAATAAGCCTCACAGTCTCACTTTAAAAATTCCCTCCTACCTATAACATAAAATTCTGAAATAATAAAGATATGGGATCACCTTTTTTATCTCAGCTAAGAGAACTGTTCTTACAGTGTGGTGTGTTTTTTAATTATTTATTTATTTATTTGACGGAGAGAGAGAAAGAGCACACCAGCAAGGGGAATGGCAGGCAGAGGGAGAAGCAGACTACTACCCACTGAGCAGGGAGTTTTATGTAGGGCTCAATCCCAGGACGCTGGGATCATGACCTGAGCCACCCAGGCATCCCTTACAGTGTGTTTTAAAATGCTAGCCTAGTTTCTTAATCTGTAAGAAATTCTTTTCATTTGGAATTTTAAACATAAGCAGCTTAAACCATGGAGGTTTAAAAATCCTTCTAATGTCACTTAGCTACTTGGTCTCAAAATCACAGAGCAGTTTCAGAATTATGAAACTACCATGTAAATGTCCAACCTCTTGTAAGTTAGCATTTTACCCATAGCTTTTCTACTTATTTTATGTATGATTTTCAATTAAGTACAATCTTAGGACAACCAAGAAACTATATGAATTATCTATCCAAGAGTTAGTATATTTATTTTTCTGTCTCCTAGGAATGTTACAAACTTTTTAAACTCGTTAAAATGCGGTTTTCACCATTTTGATGTATTTCTTCCTTGTGTAGCCCATATTTCTTGAGTGTGGCATATAATAAATTTGAAAATCAGAATTTTAACTTTTCCCAATAGTTGCTATTTTCCCACTGGAGTCCATTTTGCATCTTCCTCTGAGGCCCCCTTTTTTAAAGATATTTTTATTTTATTTTTTTAAGATTTTATTATTTATTTGACAGACACAGCGAGAGAGGGAACACAAGCAGGGGGAGTGGGAGAGGGAGAAGCAGGCTTCCCTCGGAGCAAAGAGCCCGATGCGGGGGCTCAATCCCAGGACCCTGAGATCATGACCCGAGCAGAAGGCAGATGCTTAACAACTGAGCCACCCAGGCGCCCCAAGAGATTTTTATTTTTAAGCAATTTCTACACCCGGTGTGAGGCTCCAACTCACAACCCAAACTGAGCCAGCCAAGTGCCCCCATAAGATTTGAGCATAGTTGACACAATGTTAACATTAGTTTCAGGTGTACAACTTACTGATTTGAAAAGTTTAGGGGCGCCTGGGTGGCTCAGTCGGTTAAGCATCTTCCTTCAGCTCAGGTCATGATTCCAGGGTCCTGGGATCGAGTCCTGCTTCGGGCTCCTTGCTCAGCAGGGAATCTGCTTCTCTCTCTGCCTGCCACTCCCCTTGCTTG